CCCAGGAGGCAGAGATTTGAAGGTTAGAGCAAAATTGATTCAGTGTAAGTGCGCTTATAAAATAAAAGTCCTTAGACATGTTCCTCTTTAAAGTCTGATTGGTCCCGGAAAATGAGGAGATAGTACCCCTGCAAGCATGTGAATATGGCATCCACCACGACAGTCTTTTTTTAGATTTTGGTAAACGTTTGCCATTTGTCATACCAAAAGCTATTTGGAAAAAGATGGTCAAAGGAATGGGCAGCTATAATGTTAAGATAGACTTAAACATCAATACTCTTTGATTTGAAAAGTAGATGATGGAGTATGAAGTCAAGTCATCTGAATAAGTAAATTAGGAATTGTTCACAAATAACAGGCATCCCATGAAGTTTTATATGAGGTGAATTTGAGTCAAAAAAGGAAGGACTACTTGATACTTATGGGCTAGTTTATTTCCCTTGCAAGTGAGGGTCAAGTAAAATGCAAAAAGAAAGGCACTGTGTGAGGTTGATGATTTGATGGCCCTAGAGAACATTTGATTCCATAACCAGTGGTTGTAGAAAATGGTGTGAGAGGGAGGATTTGGGGCCAGCAGTAAGGAGCAGATAAGGGGGAGAGACTTTATATCTTTCTGTTCTATTTGAATGCTTTTTTCTTCTTTTTCTTTTTTAAGTTTCTCTTTCCAGTCTTTACACCCTTAATTTTGCTTTTGTTTTCCTCTCACTCTGTTTTGTTTGTTTGTTTGTATTTCAAATAGTCTGGTGTGTCTCTCAACATCCTTCTTCAAGCTCACATCTATATATATAAGAAAGCCTAAGCGATTTTTTGACTGGTAGCTATGACCACACTGACTGCCAGGGACAGATGCTCAGTGCTCAGGCATGGAAATATGGAACAGACTGATGAATTTCAAAGGGAAGGGGGGGCGGGGAGCAGGAAGAGATCTTTTTTTAAAAAAGACTGTGGTTTCTTTATTTTTAATTTTTTCAATATATTTTGTTGATTTCAGAGAGGAAGGGAGAAGAAAGAGATAGAAACATCAATGATGAGAAAGAACCACTGATAGGCTGCCTCCTACACATCCCCTATTGGAGGTTGAGCCCACAACCCCGGGCATGTGCCCTTGACTGGAATTGAACCTGGGACCTTTCAATCCATAGGCCGATGCTCTATCCTGAGCCAAACCAGCTAGGGCCAACCAAAGATCTTATATGCATACTAGAGGCCCTGGCCTATAGGGATCAGGCCAAAACTAGTCTGGTGCATGGATTTGTGCACCAGTGGGGTCCCTCGGCCTGGCCTGTGGGGATAGGGCCAAAACTGGCTCTCCAAGATCCCCTGAGGGGTCCCAGATTGCGAGAGGGTTTAGACCAGGCCCAGGGACTCCACTGGTGCATGAGTGCATGCACCGGGTCTCTAGTAAATATTTATAAGGAGCTTGGGAAGAGGGATGGGTCATTACTTTTATAAAAATAGGATTAAACTATAAGTATCTCCCTGGAATTTGCTTTTCTCACTATGGACATCTGTTTCTACAGATCTAGTTGTTTCTTTTTAGTAGCTGTGTACTATGATGGGCTCCTTATTGGTGGAAGTTGCTGATTTTTTTTTAAATTTATTTTTTGCTATAGCAAATACTGCAGTGACTATCTTTATACATTTATCTTTTTGCATTTGCATAACACACCTGTAGGATATGAATCAGAGGATTCTATGTATTAACATTTTTTATTGATACTACCAGTTGTCTATTATAAAGGCTATACCACTTTAACAGCCATGTGCACAATAACTGAAGTCCTGATCTAAATATTGTCCCTCTCCTAAAGGAGCTTAGTAGAATAGCTGGTTACAGATTTGTGGCAGATAAAGGGTAAGCCTGTCTAGGACATCTTGTGCAAAAAAAAAAAACATGGAAGTCCTCCAAGACTAATGAAATCCTGTCAAAAGGATACAAAGAACCAGCTGGAAGAGTATCTGCTGGCCAAATTTGGGACAATTTGGTCAGCAAAATGCATAATTGTAATTATATTACATTGGATTTTTTTAAAAATTAATGAGTCTTGCCTGGCTGGCATGGCTCAGTGGTTTAGTATTGACCGATGAACCAGGAGGCCATGGTTCCATTCCCCTTCCAGGCACATGCTAAGACTAAGACTGTGGGCTTAGTCTCCAGTGGGGGGGTTGTGTGCACGAGTAGTCAATCAGTGATTCTCTCTCATCCTTGATGTTTCCTCTCTTTCTCTCTGAAATCAATAAAAAAAAAATACTTTTTAAAAATAAATTGAGTATGATACTAAAAAAAAAAAAAAGGTAATAGAGGGAGAGAGTAAAACATTTTTAAAGAATAAATGTAGCTGAAACCGGTTTGGCTTAGTGGATAGAGCGTCGGTCTGCGGACTGAAAGGTCCCAAGTTCGATTCCGGTCAAGGGCATATACATTGGTTTCGGGCACATCCCCAGGAGGGGGTGTGCAGGAGACAGCTGGTCGATGATTCTCTCTCATCGATGTTTCTAACTCTCTATCCCTTTCCCTTCCTCTCTGAAAAATCATATTTTAAATATATTTTTTTAAAAATAAATGGAGAAGGAATGACAGTATTAAAAAACATTTACTGCCTGGCCAGTGCGGCTCAGTAGTTGAGAAATCATCTGTTTGATTTCTGGTTAGGGCACATGCCTGGGTTTTAGGCATCATTCCCAGAAAGGAGCATGCAGGAGGCAGCCATTCAGTGTTGATATTTCTCTCTCATTAATGTTTCTATCTCTCTCCCTCCTTCTTTAAAATCTCTCTCTAAAAATCAATAAAAAACATTTTTTAAATATACTGTTTTGCAATACCCAACTTAATATGTAAAATAAATTTCAGGCATGGAAGTTCATGGAAGCTAAAACAGTAAGTGAAAGGTTATTGGACTGTTCACATGGTGCAACAAATTACCAATCACAAAGGGAAAATATATAACTTTACACTAGAGAAATCCTGCAGTTGCTAGTAACCAAATAATTAAACTTGGCAGCCCTGGTGAGGGATATCCTGACATCATGTGCCATTTTAAATATATCTATATTGATTTCAGAGAGGAAAATAGAGGGAGAGAGAGATCGTTGATCGGCTGCCTCCTGCACATCTCACACTGAGGATCCAGCCCACAACACGGGCATGTATTCTGGGTGGGAATTGAACCATGATCTCCTGGTTCATGGTTCAAAACTCAATCACTGAACCATGCCAGCTGGGCTCATGTGCCATTTTATTGGATGCCATAAGTACCCAGTTCACTTATGGAGTATTCTTTTTTAAAATGTGTAATCTAAACCTAACTCATCCTCATAATTATCAACAGGATTACCTTCTCTAGAATTGGGGATGATTCTACCGTATGACCTTAGGTAGACTATGTTAATAACGTCTCTGAGTCTCAAAGCCCTCATTTGTAAAACAGTGATACAGAATCAGACAGATGCATGAAAATAACCTAAATATACTTTGTTTCATTTAGACAGTTTGTTTGTAACAAAAATAATTTGGTGTATAGTAAGAGTCTAACATGTTGATTTATCTCCCGCTGTCAGAATCCATTCATGGCCACCATATATATATATAGCTAATTGAAAACTACATTTCCCCCCCACACACACACAAATAATATCTTTAATTATTCTCTGTAATTTGATGACGTTTTAAAGGAATCCCCTATACTAGCTTAGATCCTTAAGCTAACAAAGTCCCTATGCCAGAAAGCTTTCTAATCCCAAATGTTCTGGGGGAAATTTTAGGTAGGAGAGCATGGGTTAGAGCATTTTGTACTCATTAAAAATTTAGATGGTCTTACACGAAATTGCCAATTTTATAGAACAAAATGTTCAATTATCAGCAATTTGATGTGGCTCAACCTAATGGCATGCATCCCCTTGGGGAAGGTCTTTAGTAGAGGCTTCGTCTGTCATCTTCATTTACCAACCAATCACCAATCTTTTTTCTCCTTTATGTTTTAGAGAAAGATTTGTTCAAAGGAGGAGAAAAGTGGGATTTGAGATTTGAATTGATTTAAGTGTGAAGGGAATCGTGATGTGGAGTGGTATTCTAATTATTGTGGGATGTTTCATCATTTCATACTCTCTACTCTCACACTCATGTATATACTTACTCTTTTCAGTCACTTCTTACCCCCCCCCCCCGCCCCCTCTCTTCCAGACAGAGGGAAATGAGGCAAAAGGAAAAAACACTTTTCTAGCTCTTTGCCTTCACTTAAAGTGATTGCTCTTTTTTAATAGGCAGTAGGGGAATCTTGAAAAATTGAGAATTCTTTGGTTCTTTTCTAAAAATAGCACTTTGAAATGATAATATTCTTTTTTTAAAAATCTTAGTTATTCATACTATGGAAGGTACAAGTGGGTTAAGGGATTTCACATGGATTTCCTGTTATAGAACATAAATAACGAAGAAACAAGTCCCAATGGGGTTTGGGAGGAAAGTTTCAGGCAGTTCCTGAAGGGAATTCCGAAATGATCACAGCACAGCAAGAATCCTCCCTGGGATATGGCTCTTACAGCAAGGGCCATAACAACGTCCCATAAGAAAGTGGCTTCCGTAAAGAATGTGTTCTAGGCAAATGTATATTGTTTCAGTGTTTTCTCAAATAAGAAAAGGTAAATTCGCCGAGACCGGTTTGACTCAATGGATAGAGCGTCGGCTTGGGGACTTAAGGGTCCCGGGTTCGATTCCGGTCAAGGGCATGTACCTCGGTTGAGGGCATATCCCCAGTAGGGAGTGTGCAAGAGGCAGCTGATCGATGACTCTCTCTCATCGATGTTTCTAACTATCTCTCTCCCTTCCTCTCTGTACAAAATCAATAAAAATATATTTAAAAAAAAGAAAAGGTAAATTCACTGGAAGACCTTCTTCCCTCTTAAGGAAATGTGGTCCAACTTGGATATAAGTAGCTTTTTTAAAATCCTTAGTTGTTGGCAAAGCCAAATCATTGCTAGTGTGACAATTATTGTTCATGTCCCAGACAGCTGCTCAGGAAGCAATCCTGCATGCGTCTGGAATTGGCACACCTTCACCATCTAAGGACTACTGCATGGTCTACAACCCTCACTGGACAACTCTGCCAGGGACCCTAGAAAATGCAGTAAGTACATCGCAGTTACTATTTCTTTGTAAACAAAAATATTGAAAGGTGAAAATGAGTAATTATTATTTTCAGTGTATGAACTATTTGTAATATGTGATTAATAAATAATAATTTATTTTTATTTATTTTTTTGCTTTAGCTTAAATATTTTTCTCTTTGAGGGAAAACTAAGTTAGGGAATTTTAAAATACTTCAAAGCCCCATCATCATGAAATCTTTTTGATTTACCTAAAGGGACATTGTATTAAATCAATAGAAACTTTGTCACTAAATGCATTTAGGGTGAAATTCGGTATTTACCATACTAAAGACATTTCTTCTTTTCAGACTTCCTTTAGTTTGAAGAATCTGACTTCCACACCACTGTGTGATATTTCTGATATTCCTCCTGATGGGATAAAGAACAAAGCAGTTGTGGTTCAGTGGGGAACCTGCCATTTTCTTGAAAAAGCCAGGATTGCAGAAACCGGAGGTGCTGAAGCATTGTTGGTTGCCAATAACAGTATTGTAGTAAGTTATAAAACTACTAGAGGCCCAGGGCGGGAGGGGGTCAGCCCAGCCTGCACACAGTTGAAATCTGGGATCTCTTGGGGGATTTTCGATTTCGAACCTAAACCACTGTTGGACATCCCTCTCAAAATCTGGGACCGCTGGCTCCTAACTGCTGGCCTGCCTGCCTGCCTGATTGCCCCTCACCACTCTGCCTGCCTGCCTCATCACCTCTAACCACTCGCCTGCCTGCCTGATTGCCCCTAACTGCCTCTGCCTCGGCCCTGCCATCGTGGCTTTGTCCGGAAGGACATCCAGAAGGATGTCTGGAAGGACGCCTGAAAGGACATCCAGTTGTCCAATCTAATTAGTATATTACGCTTTTATTATTATAGATAATTATTTCTTTTGAGCTCGTGATATCAAATTTCACAGGTTGAACTACCTACCCTTCTGTGTGCAGAGTTTTGAATAACCTGATAGGATTATTTTAAAATACACATTCTGGTTATGATAGGCATTTAATTGGAATATTTTGTAGTTTCTTTTCTATTCCTAAAGTAGACAAGACTTTGTTAGGAACAAGTATGTATAGTTGTGTGTGAGAGTTACATACTGTATATATGATACACCTGTATATATCAGTTTGAGAACTCTTGCTATAATGTATTAAAAACACTTGAAACTTTGTTTTATAACTTGATAAAGATGTCATAGTCTAATTAATGGAATAATTTGGATTTTATTCTGTAAATGTATTAGTAGTTCATACGTTTTCATGATTTGTGTTGTTGTTTTTTCTTTTAGTTTGCTCCCTCAGGGAACAGATCTGCATTTGATGATGTGAAAATACTGATTGCATTTATAAACAACAAAGACTTAAAAGATATGAAGCAGGTAAATTAGTAATTACATACTAGACAATGTTCATACCTAGTACAACTCTTTACTTTTAACCATTGATATTTAACATAAATGATTATACAAGCTGCACTTGCTAACAAGAAGCTGTAAAGGCCTACCACGTCTTTACTTGGGAAGTATTCACCTCCCTTTTAGCACAACGTGTTTCCAAGCCCTCACTCCAGAAAGGATATTGGTTTGTTTTGACTCCTTTAAAACCTCTGATTGTATGGAATACTGCAGTTTCAAGATTTAATAAACCAAAATATAGCCTCCTAATTTTGACAAGAGAATATATCATATTGTCAGAACTAGTTCTAGTATTCTTGACTGCCTAACGCAGTGTCCATCCCAGAGTCAAGTTGGAGTGTTGCTGCCATGCTCTGTAGTGGGAAGAAGACTAATGCTGGTGTTTTAACTCATTTTTTTTTTTGCCTTTCAGGCTCTTGGAGATAACATTACTGTGAAAATGTATTCACCGTCAAGGTCTAACTTTGACTATACGATGGTGGTTATTTTTGTAATTTCTGTGTTCACTGTGGCATTAGGAGGATACTGGAGTGGACTACTTGAATTGTAAGTTTAATTAAACTTCAGTATTTTTTGTGATAAATGACTAAAAATTATTATTTAAATTATTTTAGTCATATAACAACATTTAAAATTCCACCTCAGAAAATAGTGTGGTTAAGATCAGATTGCAGCCGAAACCAGTTTGGCTCAGCGGTAGAGCGTCGGTCTGCGGACTGAAAGGTCCCGGGTTTGATTCCGGTCAAGGGCATGTACCTTGGTTGCGGGCACATCCCTGATGGGGGGTGTGCAAGAGGCAGCTGGTCGATGTTTCTCTCTCATCGATGTTTCTAGCTCTCTATCTCTCTCCCTTCCTCTCTGTAAAAAATCAATAAAATATATTACAAAAAAGAAAAAGAAAAAAAGATCAGATTGCAATTTGTCCTCATACAGGTCATTTGCCTTATCACTGAGAAAGGGGTCATAGGTTCCTCTAATTCTTCACCTGGCAGGGCCTAAACACTGACTTTCTATCAAAGACTCTTAAACTGAAATGTTCAATGATGTCTCCCAGGAAGATGAAGCTACTTAGTATCCTAACATGCCTTTTTATTTCAATTGGAAGAAAATAAGCAAGAGAAAATGAGGAGTTTTTCAGCTCCTTTTGAGTTGAATCAATAGTGTGACATCATCATTCTGTTCAGTGCTTTAGGAATAGGGAAGAATATTAAATATGTTCATATTTTAATTTACAGAGAGGAAGGGAGAAGGATAGAGAGTTAGAAACATCAATGAGAGAGAAACATCAATCAGCTGCCTCCTGCGCACCTCCTATTGGGGATGTGCCCACAACCAAGGGACATGCCCTTGACCAGAATTGAACCTGGAACTTTTCAGTCTGCAGGCTAATGTTCTATCTACTCAGGTAAACCGGTTAGGGCTCATATTTTAACTTAAATGTAGAAATTTCAAATGTACATAAATTTGGATTTCCATCTTAATAACCTAAACCCAATCTTCTTACAGTTATATACCTTTGGCTCTAGATTAAAATAGGCAACATAATAAAGATCAGTTCATATTTATAACTCTGAATTTTAAAAAAGTGTTCAGAGCATATTAATTCATCCATAAGGGACAATATATTCACCTTGTGAATTGATCTCTAGGTCAGCGGTCGCCAACCTTTCAGACCTCAGGGACCACCAGTGTCTGTGGACCATCAGTTGGCGACTGCTGCTCTAGATTTCATTAAAAATGTCTTATTGGCAATTAATGACACTAATAAGCTTACTTATCATTTTTAAAATACTAAAATTTGATTTACATCAAGAGAGAAATCTTAGGGTTTAACAAGTATAGTTTTCCTGACGTATTGAGCTTTAAAATTTTACATATTTGGAAAACATGTTTCCACATATATGAGTTATGTGTTTTCCTATAAGCATTGTTTTTCTTCATTAATATTAATCTTTAGAAAACATAGTATGTAACTAGATCTCCAATTATTTTCTAGATTATTTGTTGAAACTTTATTATTTCCCAAAAGCTACTATTTCATTAAAGATCTTTTTCCATTAATATAAATTCACCCTGCACTTCATTATTTGTACATTGTTTCTTTAGAGTAGTGCTTCTCAAACTGTAATGTGCATGCAAACTGTCTTGAGATCTCATTAAAACAGAAGTTCAGATTTAGGAGGCTTAGTGGCTTCCACACAGCTGGGAGGAGACAGTAGGTGACAGAACAGAGACTGTTCAACAAGGGGCACCTGAGGCTCTTTTCTCTTCAACTTCAGTCTCTTCCTTTTATTAACTGTGTGACCTAGAAAGCAAGGGTTGTTGGAAGAATTAAAAACAATGTTTTGCTCTCTTAAATCAAGGTCGGACAAAGCTATGTCTTGAACTCCTATGAGTCCTTCAGAATATATTGATGAGCATATAGTAAATACTGAGTTGATAGAAGAACTTCTACTGTTCCCATTTAAAAGAAGCTAATTTTAGAAATACTTGATTATGTGTAAATTGATAATATTAAGTGTATAAGAATTGGTTATCATCTGAAATTTATTTCATAAATATAGTTTCCAAATCAGATAATATGAACACCCACAAAATTTAACTTGTTTATATATGTCATCTGTTTCATCAATTTTGCATCAGGAAAAAATGCTGTTTCAAAAGTCAAAACATTGGTTAAAAATATTATCTCTGGAGGTTAAAATAATAGAGAGTTTTGCCGAAACCGGTTTGGCTCAATAGATAGAGCGTCTGCTTGGGGACTGAGAGGTCCTGGGTTCGATTCCGGTCAAGGGCATGTACCTTGGTTGCGGGCATATCCCCGGTAGGGGGTGTGCAAGAGGCAGCTGATCGATGACTCTCTCTCATCGATGTTTCTGGCTCTCTATCTCTCTTCCTTCGTCTCTGTACAAAATCAATAAAAATATATTTTAAAAAATAATAATAATAGAGAGTTTTTACTTTCTTGATTAAACATTTCTTGTTGGTATTTGGGTGGTTTTTTTAATGTATTATTTTATAATAAAAATTTAAGTTGGTGTTAAAGATGGATTTTACAAATGATTTTACTTGGAAGAGATTTACTAAAGTTCTTGTGTATGTTTACTCAGGGAAAGCATGAAGGCAATGGCAGACACTGAAGACAGAGAAACGAGGAGAAAGAAGGACGAATATTTAACTTTCAGTCCTCTAACAGTTGTAATATTTGTGGCCATCTGCTGTGTTATGATGGTCTTACTTTATTTCTTCTACAAATGGTTGGGTAAGAAGTCATGTTTTATATTTCATATTTTCAGCAAACAATCTTCTCACTTATTTGGCAGATTTATCTTTTTCTTCTACATGAAAAACTTAAGTGAATAAATAAAAAGTGATATTAACTTTTTAAATTGTTAGAAATGTTAGGTCTTCATTACTGTGGGGTAAAAAAATATTCAGATTAAAAATATACTGTCTTGAGGTAAGAACACTTCTTCATGGATGACTTGAAAGAATTGTTATGGTCCCAAATTTCACTCCCTGTAGATAAAGCATGAAATCTTAATATCTAAAGAGCAGACTAGCATGGCCAGTGTTGCTCATAGGTTGAGAATTGACCTATGAATGAGGAGGTTACAATTCAATTCTTGGTCAGGGCTTATACCTGGGTTGTGGTCTCTATCTGCAGTAGTGGGGCAGGCGGCAGCAGATCAATGATTCTCTGTCATTAATGTTTATCTCTCCTCCCTTTCTCCCTGAAATAAATAAAAGTAGATTTTAAAAATAAAGAGCAAGCTAAGGACTTCTTGGTAGCTACATTGACTTACATGAAATAGAAGGCTACTCAAATTACTGATTTATTGCCTTTGCTAACCCCCAAAGTATAGTTTATTCTTTTGTCAGTTTATAAATCAAGATGTTATATTACTTGAATTTTGCAGCGTCATACTACATCTAAAGACACACAAGTATCGGTCTGTGGTCTATAGTAAGTGATACTCCTTTAAGTAGGTAGCAATAGGAACATAATGGTTTGTTTATCCCCTGGACAATCGTAATTGTCTGATAGGATGGAAAATGCCATTCCTGGTCAACATACAGTACAAAGAGGAGGTAATGAGACCAGGGAAAGGGGGAGTATGTCTGATGAGAACTTGTAAAGGCCATCAAAGGCTACAATGCTTATTTGGAGAACATTAAAATACTTTTCAGGACTAGCAAATTGAGACCTTAAGGTTAGTTTCAGCTTATTCAGTTTCTCCTGTGCTGTGGCAGCAATTTTGAAAGTGTGATCCATTGACATATAGTTCCAATTAGAAAATAATCATTCTTTTTTTTCTTTTTTTAAAATATATTTTATTGATTTTCCACAGAGAGGAAGGGAGAGGGATAGAGAGCTAGAAACGTCGATGAGAGAGAAACATTGACCAGCTGCCTCCTGCACACCCCCTACCGGGGATGTGCCCACAACCAATGTACATGCCCTTGACCGGAATCGAACCTGGGACCTTTCAGTCCGCAGACTGACGCTCTATCCACTGAGCCAAACCGGTTTTGGCTAGAAAATAATCATTCTTTGAATATCATTCATATTCCGATCTATTGTTGGGAGAGTAGGTTCTAGGGTGTTGTTTGTATTATGTTGTCATTGGTTGCTAATTTTTCTATTTTAATGATCTTCAGTTTGTGTCTGACCCTTAGTCAATATATTAGTGGTCTTTGATAGAAAAAAAGAAATTTCTGTACCCTATCGTAAAGCATGTTATAATTTTTGGTAAGATATTTTCTTAAACTAATTGCTATTCTTTTTTTTTTTTTTTAAATATATTTTATTGATTTTGTACAGAGAGGAAGAGAGAGAGATAGAGAGCTAAAAACATCGATGAGAGAGAGTCACCTATCAGCTGCCTCCTGCACACCCCTCACTGGGGATATGCCCGCAACCAAGGTACATGCCCCTGACCAGAATTGAACCCAGGACCCTTCAGTCCCCATGCCTACACTTTATCCATTGAGCTAAACCGGTCTCGGCCTATTGCTATTTTAAAAGTTGACCCTGACCTTGCTGGTTTGGCTCAGTTGGTTGGGTGTTGTCCTGTGAACCAAAAGGCTGCCAGTTCAATTCTGGTTGGGGCACATGCTGGTTGGGCTCAATCCCCAGCAGGAGGTATGCAAGAGGCAACTGATCAATTGATCGATGTTTCACTCTCATATTGATGTTTCTCTCTTTCCCTCTTTCTTATTTCTAAAAGTCAGTTTTAAAAATCTTTAAAGTAAGCATAAAAGCATACACTGAAAAAAATGAAATAAGCCTAGCTGGTGTTTCACGGTAGTTAGGCATTGACCCATGAACCAGGAGGTCACCTGTATGATTCCTGGTCAGGGCACATGCCCGAGTTGCAGACTTGATCCTCAGTAGAAGATGTGTAGGAGGCAGCTGAATGATGTTTCTATCTCTCTATCCTTCTCATTCTTCTCTCCCTAAAATAAATAAAAACATTTTTTTTTAAATAAAATAAACTATATACTGTATATAAAAGCCTAAGGGACCGGTCAACTGGTTGCTGTGACCTGCACTGACCACCAGGGGACAGCTTCTCAACACAGGAGCTTCCTCCTGATGGTCAGTGCAATTCCACAGCCAACCTCCTGTGACCCTGATTGGCCCTGATTGCTGGCCAGGCTAGGGACTTCACCCATGCATGAATTCATGTACCTGGCATCTAGTATAATATAAAATCAAATAAAAGTTTACCCTGTTTATAAATGTAATTTTTGATGTAGGAGAAAAATCATTAAACCTCAAGGTTATTCCAGAACATGGGATTTAATTATAACTCTGAGAATATCTTATATGATTATTATAAGATTTAATTCACCATAAGGCTCTTTTTTTTTTTTAATATATTTTATTGATTTTTCACAGAGAGGAAGAGAGAGGGATAGAGAGTTAGAAACATCGATGAGAGAGAATCATCGATCAGCTGCCTCTTGCACACCCCCTACTGGGGATGTGCCCGCAACCAAGGTACATGCCCTTGACCGGAATCGAACCCGGGACCTTTCAGTCCGCAGGCCGACGCTCTATCCACTGAGCCAAACCGGTCCTGGCTGCTGCCTTTTCTTAATATATTAAATAGTTAGAAGCCCTGTGCATAAAAATCATGCACAGGAGGTTCCCTCAGCCCAACCTGCACCCTCTCCAATCAGACATTTCTCTTGCAATCTGAGACTGCTGACTCCTAACCATTCACCTGTCAGTCTGGTTGCCCCTAACCATTCTGCCTGCCTGATTACCCCTAACCTCTCTGCCTGCCTGCCTGATCACCCCCAACTGCTCCCCTGCTGGCCTGATTGCCCCCAACTACTCTCCCCTGCTGCCCTGATTTCCCTGCCAGCCTGGTTGCCCTTAACTGCCCTTCCCCGCGCCCCCCCCCCCCTTGCTGACCTGGTTGCCCCCAACGGCCCTCCCCTGCCGGCCTGGTCTCACTCCCAACTATCCTCTCTGCCTCAGCCCCTACCACCATGGTTTTGTCTAGAAGGAAGTCGGACGTCTGAAAGATGGCCAGCTGACCTGTCTAATTAGCATATTACCCTTTTAGTAGTATAGATAGATTATATAGGATAGGATTGCTTAAATGAAGGGGAGAGCCCTTTTCAGCAAGAGGAAATGCTCTTGGCAGACAAAAACACATAATCCCTATATCTGGACTGATAGCCAGCCATATACTATACTGCCAAACCAGTCATTGAAAAATTGAACTGCTTTCCTTTTTTTTTTTTTTTTTAAATATATTTTATTGATTTTATACAGAGAGGAAGGGAGAGAGATAGTTAGAAACATCGATGAGAGTGAGTCATCGATCAGCTGCCTCTTGCACACCCCCTACTGGGAATATGCCCGCAACCAAGGTACATGCCCTTGACTGGAATCGAACCCGGGACCCTTTAGTCCCCAAGCCGACGCTCTATCCATTGAGCCAAACCGGTCCCGGCTGAACTGCTTTCTTACACCTTACACCAAACATCTGTTGCCCTTAAAACCCCTCCTTAGCCCCCATCTTAGGTTCTGCCTTCACAGCTCACCCAGAGTAGGTTCTGATTGGTCAGTTTCTATGCCAATCAGCATCAAAAGCTCCCCTTCCTAGGCAGTCATTGGCTCTTCTGGGAAATCCAGAAGGCCCCAAGGACAGCTGTTTCTCTCTCCGGGCCTATCTCTGGGCCTGATACACAGCCTTCGCAGGGCTTCTCTCTGGGCCTCTCTCTGGGCCTGATCTTCAGCCATCGTGGCAGCGGTGAGGTCATTAGGCTAACAACCTCACTGCTCCCCTTGCCCCACCCACCCACCCCCGCCTCCCACCTGCCCGCCTTCCACCAGCCTTGCTGTGATAGGAGCCTGTGAGCTGTGGGGGATGGACCAAGAGGTGTTCCATGCACTTCCTGGTGACTGGTCATCCACCTGGTAGTTTAAGTCGTTATGACCCTAGGCTATTATTAGTATAGATGGGACTGTACTAAAATGGTAGGGTTCCCCTTACCATTTTATGATTGTCATGCTCAAGGAAGTAACTAAAGGCAGTTACAATAACCAAATTCCTTTCCACGCCCAATTGTTTTCTTAAGTCTAGTATGGCGCTGAATGAGGCACCTAAGATCTGTTAGGGCCCAAAGAGCCTCTTTTCCACCAGAGTTGTAAAACTTGGGCTGGAGACCTGTGATGGATGACTTACCAACCTTAATTTGACAATCTTGACTCTCTCTTACTATTCATATTACAATAGATAACCAAGAGGCTTGATGCACGAAATTCAAACAAGGGGCGCAGCCCTCACAGCCCTGGCTTAGTCTAGAAGGTCGTCTGGACAGTTCTACTATTTCAGTCTAATTAGCATATTAGCTATTATATAGGATAATTTAAATAACAAATAAGAGTTACCGTATACAAAGCTAATTATGTGCCAGATACTTTTCTAAGCATTTTATATATATTAACTTACTAAATCCTCACAGTAACCCTGACATGGGTATTATTATATTTCACATTTTAAAGATGAGAATCAGGGACTAAAGTAATAGTCTAAGATCACCAATTAGAAAGTGGCTATTCCTTACTTACTCTCTCTACATTACTTTCTCTTTCTCACCTGCAGAAAAGTTATAGTTTTCTGCAATTTAGTGAAATTTGAAAAATTCAGGTAAAATTTGTGTTTTTATTGAGAAATTTTGATGAAGTTCAGAAAATGAATTATTTTTATTTTAGAGTACATTAACCCCACCCCGTATTTTAACAACAAGGAGACCAAATGTTTTTTATTTTAAAGAATTCTCAAATAAGTATAGTTTCTATAGAAAAACACTTGTCACCCTAGCTAGTTTGGCTCAGTGGATGGAGCATTGGACTGTGGACTGAGGGGGTCCCAGATTAAATACCAGACAAGGCACATGTCTGGGTTGCAGGCTTGATCCCCAGTTATGGCATCCAGGAAGTAGCTGATCCATGATTCTGTCTCATCATTAATGTTTCTGTCTTTCTCCTTCTCCCTTTCTCTCTGCTATAAATGGAAATATATTTTTTAAAATACTTAAAAAGGAAAAGAAAAAAAACACTTGTCAATTTTTACTGCCTTAATATTCTCTTATTATAATAAAGAGGTAATATTCAAATTGATTGTCACTCCAACACACAAGATGGCCTCTCCCATGTGGTCAAAGATGGCTGCCCCCTTGTAGACACAAGATGGCTGGCAAGGGAGGACTGTGGGGGGCAGCCATGCTGGTAGGGAACACCCCTCGAGGGGTCCCACATTGGAGAGGGTGCAGGCTGGGCTGAGGGACACACACACACCACGCATGAATTTCATGCACTGGGCCTCTAGTTGTTTCATAACGAAGATGTTTGCTTAAATGGATTTAGTTTTGCTACAGGCCAAGTTATAGATAAATTTAACCTTAGAAAAATATAGATAGCATGGAATACTTTGCCACTATAAAAAAAAGAAGGAACTTTTTACCATTTGCAGCAGCAGGGATGGAACTGGAGAGCATTATGCTAAGCAAAATAAGCCAGTCAGAGAAAGATAAATACCACATGATCTCACTCATGTGGGATATAATGATCAACATAATTTGATGAACAAAAATATATCCAGAGGCTAATGGCAGGGGAGATGGTGGGACAGAGAACAACCAAAGGACATATATGTATGTTTATTAGCATAACCAGTGGACACAGACACTGAGTTGGTGGGGGCTTGCCCAGGATGGGAATGGTTAGGGGAAGTGGGGAGGGGGGTGTCAATCAGAAAAAAGAAGACATATATAAAACTTGAGACAATTTAAAATTTTTTAATTTAATTTTTAAAGAGTGTTTATAATGGCTTATTTATGCTCCTATTTCTTACATTAAAATTAAATACTCATAAATGTCTACAACTCCCTTGATAGAAATCTTTAACATGTCAGTTTGAATGATAGTAAATGTAGAGCCAGCTTCACCTCCTTAAGCAATCATCCTTCCAGTGATTAAAATACTTAAAACAACACAAATTACTCTTAAAAACTGAAGATCTAAATATTTTCAGTTTAGTAACCAATTCTGATCATAATATGGTCAGTGCGTTGAAAGTATTGTGATCCAAAGAGAAAGCTAAAGAATTAATATTGCTTTGTAAATATTTTCTTGTTACATTTTTTTTTTGTTCTCATATAATTTAGTGTCTTGTTTTTTTTTTTCTTTTTTTCTAGTTTATGTTATGATAGCAATTTTCTGCATAGCATCAGCAATGAGTCTATACAACTGTCTTGCTGCACTAATTCATAAGATTCCATATGGACAATGCACGTATGTATTTCTTTTGAGGCATCCTGTAATGTTGGTTTTTGTAATATAAAACAACTAGAAGCCCAATGTACGAAGATTCCTGCTAGAATGACCTTTCCTTTCCCAGGCTGCTGGCACCGCCTTTCCCCTCAGTCCCAACCCCTTTCCGCTCGGCCCTGCCTTCCCACACTGCCCAGAGGCTCTGAGAGACCAGGGGTAGGACAGAATGCTGCAAGTGTCCCGCCTGCATCACTCAGCACCTGAGTATGCAAAAAAAAAAAAAAAAAAAAAAAAAGCTGGCCATCTTTGTTGAGTTAATTTGCATATCACTCCTGACTGGCTGGTGGCATAGCGAAGGTACAGTCAATTTACATATTTGCCTGTTGGATAAGATACAAGAAAAATTGGGAGTCTTATTTTAAATCCGTGCAGTTAAGTATACATGTGGCTATTTAAATTTAAAATAATTAAAATTAAATAAAGCCAAAACTGATTTGGCTCAGTGGGTAGAGGGTAGGCCTGCGGACTGAAAGGTCCCAGGTTCGATTCCAGTTAAGGGCATGTACCTTGGCGGCAGGCACATCCCCAGTAGGGGGTTTGCAAGAGGCAGCTGATCGATCGGGGCTGGGCGCGTGGACCGTCTCCAGGGACCGCGTCCGGAGCTGCGGTTTCTCTCTCATCGATGTTTCTAACTCTATCCCTCTCTCTTCCTCTCTGTAAAAAAAATCAATAAAATATATTTTTTTAAATAAATTTAATTTAATTTAATTTAAAGTTTAGTTCCTCAGTTTCATTAGCCACATTGCAAGTGCTAAATTGCCACAGGCCATTGTGGCTCAGTGATTGAGTATCAACCTACAAACCAAGGCCATTGTGGCTCAGTGATTGAGTATCAACCTACAAACCAAGAGGTTACAGTTTGATTCCCAGTTAGGGCACATGCCCAGGTTGTGGGCTCAATCCCCAGTGGATAGCATCCAGGAGGCAGCGAATCAATGATTCTCTCTCTTCATTAATGTTTCTATCTCTCTCCCTCTCTTTAAAGTCAATAGAAAATATTTTAAAATCAATAAAAAATATTTTTAAAGAAATTGCCACAGGGAGCCCCAATATGGAATATTTCTATTATCATAAGGTTCTATTGAACTTATGCATATTTTATTATTTTATTATGTTTTATTTAAAATCAAGACTTTTAGATTCGTATTGTAATAGCTTTCTTGTGACTGTGGTTAATATTTGTTATTTCTCACAGTAAATAAATATTTTATTTCATCTGCAAGGTAAACTAACCTATAACCACCTGTTTCTTTTGTTGTCATTTTAGGATTGTGTGTCGTGGCAAAAGCATTGAAGTGAGACTTATTTTTCTCGCTGGACTGTGCATAGCAATAGCTGCTGTTTGGGCTGTGTATAGAAATGAAGATAGGTATAACCACTTAGTTTATTTGCTTTTAGGTTATGGATGGATTATTTTATGTCTTGTCCTGATAATTACAGACAGTCCTCGTGTTACGTCAGACTCGACATATGTCGTTTCATGGTTACATCGCCATCTTCCGTTTATTTATTAAAAAAAAAAAGTTCTGCCATTTCGACGTATGTACATATGTGCTTTATATTTTTATCATTTGTTTACTACAAGTAAATGTCAGTAATTGTTATCTTTTAATTTTTTTTTTTACTGTTTCACTTCATTACCACTGTGCATGTGCTCCCTGTGAGTGACATAGGTGCTCATGTAGGTGGGTTCTTACTTATGGCGAAAATCGCCTTACATTGCTCCATAGGAACGGATCTGGAACATAACCTGAGGACCTACTGTATTTATTATTATTATTATTATTATTATTATTATTATGGAAGTTGTGCTTTTATTCCAGAACACTATAATTTTGAAAAAAGTTACTTGTTAAATAAGTAGATTTTGTGTTAATGGTTTTGAGGTCATATAGAAAAGGAAATGTGAATCATAATTTAAACATCTAAGCTAAATAGACTTAATTACATATAGACTTAATTATGATGTAGCCGTAATTAAGTACACAGTGGAATACAGTGCAGCTATAAAGAATGAAGATTCTGTGAATTGATATGCAGTCATTTCCAGAATATATTTTTAAGTGAAAAAAGTGCAAAAGAATATAAGTATACTAGAGAAGGCTACCTTTTATTTAATAAAGAAGGAGATATAAGAAAAACATACTGGTTTTTTTTACAGGAAAGATAACCAGAAAAAAATTATATTTAAGTTTATTTAATGTTTTATTAATGAAATTAATAAAATCCAAAGGATTTAATACCCTAAAATTTGGGAGCAAAGTTCATATATTTTAGGCAGCTTCAGGTAAGATAAATAAATCAATTGGGAATTATGCATATCATTTTTTGATAGAGTATGTTGTATAGCTCCTATTCCCTTTATGTTCTAGCTACCTATCCTTTGTTATATGTGACCTTTCTAGAAAGAGACATGTATAAATTCAAAGATTAAAGATAAATATCCATTTGTGTCTGATACACATTCTTCTGAGGTAGTCTTTCAACTTTTCCTTAGTATAGTAGATTAATTATTCTATTAAGGCAGTAAATTACTAAATATGGAAAATAGAGGTTTTTTATTCTTTTGAAAAGTACCATCTGAGGAATAGACTGACATATCTCAGAGGGGAGGGAGGTGGGGGGATGGGAAAAGATTAACCAAAGAACTTAATGCATATTTGCACAGCCCATGGACACAGATAATAGTGGGGTGAAGGCTGGGGTAGAGTGGAGAGAAAAGTGGGGGGAAATACTGTCAACAAAAAATAAACTTAAAGAATAGTTCCATCTGAAAGTAACTGGATAAAATAATAGAGTGACTTCTTTTATTTTAGGTGGGCTTGGATTTTACAGGATATCTTGGGGATTGCTTTCTGCCTGAATTTAATTAAAACAATGAAGTTACCCAACTTCAAGGTAAGGTATACTGCTCTGACAGCTAAAATAATTGTTTCTCTTTATGTTTTTTTAAATTATTACTGATTTGAGAGAGAGAGAGAGAGAAAGCCTAGAGAGAGAAAGAGAAAAATGTGAGAGAAACATCAATCAGTTGCCTCCCATATGTACCCAGACTAGGAATCAAACCTGCAACCTAGCTATGTGCCCCGAACAGGAATTGAACCTGCAGCCTTTTGGTATGTGGGACAATGCTCCAACCAACTGAGCCACTTGGCCAGGGCGATAATATTTTCTTTTTAAAACAACTTTACTGAGATATAATTTACATATAATAAAATGCACCCTTCTTAACTGTGAAGTTTATTGAAATTTTACAAATGTATAACTTTGTAACCACAGTCACAATCAAATTAAACATTTCTCATCTCTTCAAAAGCTCTATTGTGCCCTTTTGTAACCAATCCTAAACCACAGTCCCAGGTAACCACTGATTTGCTATCTAAAATATTCTAAATCATTTACATAATATGCCTAATTTAGAAAATTCTTACAGGACTAAATATTAGGGAAGAACATTTCTTTGGTCATTGATTCTTTTTTTTTTTTTATATAAAAAGAATAGGATAAAGAACATAGAAGTTTTAATGGGGTTTGTAGACTAAAACTATAAATAGTAATAACCATTAGTGCTTTTAAAAATAGTGTTCAAATGTATGTTCACGTTTATTTATAACTTGAAAAACAATCTCTTAATTTAGATATGGGAAATTTGACCTTTAAATTTGTTTCTTTCAACAGTCATGTGTGATACTTCTAGGCCTTCTCCTCTTCTATGATGTGTTTTTTGTTTTCATAACACCATTCATCACAAAGGTAGGATATTTTGAAACCCATGAGAAACATGCTAAAAGACGAGAATCTTAAACCTGCTCTTAGGTTATTGGTTTTGCAGATGTTTACCCTGAGTGAGTTCTAATTCTCTTAAGAAAATTGTCATTGAAATTAGGATTTTTTCCCCCCCAAGCCTTTAAGCCATTCTGCTAAATAAAAAATGTCTGCTGACTGATGTGAATGTGAGAATATCTATAAATTTGCTTCCTACCCTTTTTAAAGTATCTTTTCTTATTGTGAAACAGTAAATGTTTGCTGTAGATAAAATAGACAACAATAATGATGAGGATGTGGCATTGCTACTCCCATTTCTGTAGCTGTCGTCCGAGAGCACCACACTGGAAACCTGAAGACCTCACGTGTGCCCTCCTGACCCTGGATAAGTCACATAGCTCTTGGTGCTTCAGTTTCTTAACCCATGTGTGAAGGCATGTTGCTAGCATTTCATCCTCCCTCTTCCATGAGGAAAATTCTCTTGGTTGCAACTAACGGAACCCAACTTACCCTTTCTGTACCAAAAAGGTCCCATCTACCCAAACTGTGTACAGAGGCCAGGATGGGGCTGGTCTCAGCAGAAACGAGACACTAGGCTACATCTGGTCCTTTCTGCTTCTGTCCATGTGTTCACAGTCTCAGGCTGGCCTTTTCCATGATGTTAGAATCCTAACAACTGGTATCTCCTTAGGTCATCTGTTTGCAACTCTGCCACTAGCTCCTCAGTAAACTGAAGGTGCTGTTCTTAGAATAAGGGAGAGGTGTTGGGTGAATGTTGTAGTCTTACTTGCCCAATTTTTCTATTTTGTCCTTATTCCTACCTCATGAATATATTTTAAATTATTGTTCAATTCGCCCACTTCCCCTATTTTATTTTGCTTTCTATCATCTCTTTATTCTTTATTACTTTCATATATTTAATATTTGATACTATAATCACTTTCTCCTCCCCCCCCCCCCATTAGTTCTTTATCCATTCTTTAGGCCCTGCCATCTGTAAAATCACTGTAAAACTCTGCACTTCCAGTAGATACTTGCTATAATGGCATAAGCCAAACATATGCCCCATGGGGGAGCTAAAATTGCCCTAAGTCACAGCTACCCCAACTGTCTTACTAGCATCTTTCTGTGCCTTGATGATGAGCCATTTGACTAATTGATTTTATTTGCAATAGTACCATACAAAAGCATAGAACTATTATTACGGATTATAACAAAAATTGTTAACTTATTAAAGCATTTTTTAAAGTTCAATCTAAAGTTGTCCTAGCTTGTATCAATGTATTTGGTTTAATAAAATGTTCCTATAAGGCACTCCATCAGAGATCTTATATTGAAAGTAAATCATTCTCTCTAGAAAGCCATTGTCATAGGCCAACAGATTGTCATAGCATATGACACATAAATTTTACAGTAGCTATAGCTATATAGATTCTTGTTTTAAAATAATGTTTCCATTCTGTTTCAACATTAGCATTACTTTTTTAAATGTCAAACATGTCTGCCAGCAAACCATTTCCAATCTCTATGCATAGAAAGCTTTTGAATTTTAAAAGTATAGGGTAATAATAAAGATGTCTTTGAGCTCTCTTTCTTCCTTCTGTGCTTAGGGAATTCTTTATCTCCTTTTTTTCCATCTTAGTTCCCACCAACTAGGAATTCCTAGTAGTCTGTCTGATCAGGTGGAAAGATTGAAGTGCTCTTAGCTCTGTTCATTGTTACAGACTTACTTTAACACTGACTTCTCAGTCTGGTTTGTTTTTATTGAAGTAATAGACCTTTTAGTAGGTAATTCAAAATGAAAATCAGATATGCAATTTCTTACTTTTGTTGTTCTCACTGAAAATTTCAAGGATTAAATATTGGACAGTCTAAACATGTTCTCAGCCCTGGAATTAGTAAACTTTTAATGAGTTAGCAAGGCCAGTGTCTATTAGTACTGACAATAAGAGCCTGTCTTCATTTTTGTTGTTAATCCTCTCTTGAGGATATTTTGTCATTGGTTTTTAGAGAGGGAGGAAGGGAGGGGGAGAGACAGGGAGAGAGAAATGTCAATTGGTTGCTTCCCCACACGCAACCTGACGAGGGCAGGGGATTGATCCTACAACCAAGGTACGGTTGACCAGAATCGAACCTGGCACGCTCAGTCTGCAGGCTAATGCTCTATCCACTGAGCCAAACTAGCGAGGGCATCATTTTTTATTTCCTACACTATGGTTTTTGTTATAGTATTTTGCAAATAATAGTTACTCAAATATCTTGGACTGTTTGAGAGGATATTGATGATGTTCTTCAGTTAAATGTTTTAAATAACAATTATAAAACAAGCCAATTCTTTTCATTGAAAGTTGAATCACACAATGGGAGATTACTGTAAGGAACTGTATTCAATATTAGTTTATTTTTCTAAATTCTGTAACTTAAACCTCCAGTAACCTGAAGTTTAACATGAGGAAAAGATTCCTATAGCTCGGGACTTTATCCTTCTTGCTCTTAGCTCGGGTATCAGCAAAGTACTCCTAAAAACACTCCACTGATTTCTCCTTTGCACCCACCCACATGTAAAATGCTATTGTTTGTAAATCAATTTTCCTAAACTTCAGCATTAATTTACCTTCCCACTACCTGTTTTGGTGACATATTTATCCTAATAGAAAGCTCGCTACCTCAGAATGTTTCCCCTCTCCACAGCATACTTGGCTGGCAGGAAATAACTTTTGAATGAGCTCGTCACAGAGCCCACATATCAAGCCTGAGCCAGACACCAGGGAGAGAACTCAGCTAAGGTTAATGTTTTCGTTGGGACATAAAAGCAGGCAGGGCTGACATTGGACAGAAGTTAGGCTAGAGAAGCATCTCAAGTTCTTTAGGGCTGGGTCTCTTCAAGTTTGGCTTCATTGTTACTGTGGGGAGTAGCCAGCGATCAAATGTATATTTATTCAAATAAAGTTACCAATATTGAATACAAATCTAAATATTAAAAAATGAATATTATCTGTCAGATTCTAAAAATTGTTGAGTTCTGATAAAGTGGAACAGTGTTGCTAGATGGGTTTTGTTTCAGATTACTCCAATTTTTGTTATCTATAGAGACTGTTTTATTTAGTTTTTAAATGTTTTTTAATTGATATCAAGGAGGAAGGAAGAGGGAAAGAGAGAGATACATCGATGATGAGAAAGAATCATTGATTGGCTGCCTCCTGCATGCCCCTTACTGGGGATTGAGCCCACAACCTGGGCATATGTCCTGACCTGGAATAGAATTGTGACCTCTTGGTTCATACGTTGGCACTAACCATGTACCACAGCAGCTGGGCTTGGGGTGCATTTAAAAAATTAATTTATGGTAGGCCATAATCCGCAGGGCCAAATCATTCTTGAATACTGTTAGATTATTCTCTTTAAATGATTGGACAATTTCTTTCATCTTCTCGATTTTAGAACGGCGAGAGTATCATGGTTGAACTTGCAGCTGGACCTTTTGGAAATAACGAAAAGGTAGCGATGGCAGCTAAACAGAACTGGCTGCCAGTGTATGTATGTGTGTCCAGTTAATAATTTGCCTTCCTGTGTAATTAATTTGTCATGTAGTGCATGTCCAGGTATTGTAAAACTTTATTTCTCACAAAATATAGCCCTTTTCTTAGTTATTCTAAATTATTAAATACCTATTGACTTGGGTTTCATCCTAGAATGATGGAAACTTGGTGGAAGCCACTGCTCAACCCTCAGCTCCCCATGAGAAAGTAAGGATTGTATTTCAGATATGTTCATTGGACTTTAAATTATAGCCTCTGAGACAAGACTCTTCTTTGGGGGAAAGAAATCCAGATTAAAAAAAAAATTTTTTTTTCAAAGCCTGAGTCATATTTTCGCTAAAAATTGAAAAGAGGTTAGATGTGGGGATACTAGAATTAATACTGTTAACCCTACACAGGTTTCATTTTTCCAAAACCACATGTCTCTTTTTTTTCACGCTTCCTACACATTCAGAATATATGTGTCTAGTTTATGTTTTCTAATTTCAAGTTCTTCTAAATGTCAGTTTTAAAATGTTAAAACAGTCCTTCTAATATTAATTCTTCCTTTCCTAAAAGGTTTGTGTAAAGATTTCCAAGAGGGTTTATTGGTGACTCTTTTTTATCTTTTTTCTTTTTTTAAATAATTATAGTTACCAGTAGTCATCAAAGTACCAAAGCTGGCATATTTCTCAGTAATGAGTGTATGCCCCATGCCAGTTTCCATATTGGGTTTTGGAGACATTATTGTACCAGGTAAGCAATTGTTTGTAACAATTTCAGTTAAAAATACAGATCATTTCAATTTGTCAAATGTATTGTATTTGTTAAAAGTTACCTACTCTGTATTAAGTATTTCTTGGCTATAGCCAGAGCGGGGATCAGTAATAAAGAAAGTAAAAACATTTTGAGTGGTAGAAGACAAGCCCAGTTGGTAACAACCAAAGTATATCTTCCATGGCTCAAAAAGACTCTTAGAGGAAGCAACTAGAATCAGTTTGACCTTCTTCCTTAAGGAAATATAATATATTCAAAATTCTTTAAAAGTTTAATAATACTAAATATATTGTAATTTCCGTTACTTCTGTTTTTAAATAATAGTTATGTTTTAGGAAAAGTTATTTAGAAACATAGTAAACATTGCCCTATAGGGTACTGCAATTCAAAACAATATAGCATATGCCATATGGAGTTGATCAGCTTTTAACATGTCTTCTCTGACAGTTTTTGCAGCTCTGCATTATTTTCTTCATTGGGCCACCTATAGAATAAAATTCACCCTAGCCTACTAAAAATATAGTTTAGAAATTAATATTTCTCAATTAGCTGACATTTTGTCCTTCCTCATCTTTCTTTTTGTTTCCCTGAGTCCCAAGTGCCTGTGGATGGGTAAAAAGTACTAGCTCTTATGAAAAATACACACACACACACCAAAAAAACATTTTATTTACATAGTAAAGCCAAGAAGAGAGAAAATATAACAGCATTGTGTTATGAGTTGTGGTGGTTTTAAGAAAATAACATGGAGTGTTTTTTCTTTTAAGGCCTGTTGATTGCATTCTGTAGAAGATTTGATCAGCAGATTAATTCTTCTTCTTCTATATACTATGTCTCTTCCACAATTGGTAACTACTACTACTACTATTATTATTATTATTATTTTGAATTGTGTTATATGTAGGAAAAGGTAGAGGTCTAAAAATAAGGAGCTCTAAATTCTAATTTGTCATCGATAACTAATAAATAAGACAAATATTTTTTCCCCATCAAAAAGGAATAATTATATTTTACTACCTACTTCACAAGGTTTTTGAGACTTAACATGGAAATTATATGTGAAAGAAAAACATTACATTTTATATGTAAGATGCTTATTAGAGCACCTGGCACACAAGTAGTCAAATTATATACTATTATAGATTTTAAAAAATACGGATAACTACATATTTATATAAATGAATTTATGGCACAATAACATCTCACCTACAACAGCAAGTAGTTGTTACTTATCTCTGTGTTTCTATTGTTGAGAACACAAAGGAGCAGGAAGGAAGCCAAAAATACTATTTTGGAGATATCAAATAGATATATCAAAGTCCGTACACCAGAGTTGTTTTTGTTTTTTTTTTTAATATATTTTATTGATTTTTTTACAAAGAGGAAAGGAGAGGGATAGAGAGCTAGAAACATCGATGAGAGAGAAACATCAATCAGCTGCTTTCTGCACACCATCTACCGGGAATGTGCCCACAATCAATGTACATGCCCTTGACCGAATCGAACCTGGGACCCTTCTGTCTGTAGGCCGACACTCTATCCACTGAGCCAAACCAGTTTCAGCCACCAGAGTTCTTTTAGGTAAATGGCCTGCACCAGAGCCATTTACTAGTAGGTACCATTCTGGCAAGGTTTTCAATTCCACAGTCGAATTAAATCTAGAAAATTAAAATAGGTTAATTTAGGTAGGTTAGCAATAGAAAATGGTGTTGCTAGAAATAAGTACCTGATAACTAGAAACAGTAAGTGAAGAGATAAAAAATGAAAAAAGAAGACCATTCAGGCCATTAAGTGTGTACTCTCTAAGGGCGTTAACAAATTAAGAATCTAGTGCAAGTTACTGTGATACAGTAAAAGAACACTCCGTGAAAGGTGAATAATAGGGACTGTCAGTTATGCTGTGTCACTTTGGCCAGCTCACTTCACTCCCCTGGTCCTCCACTGCCTCATCTGTCAAATGAGGTAGACACAGTTGTCTATAAAGGCCCTTCCAGCTCCAATATTCTCAGATTCCATCTTCAAAATGAGACCCTGAGTCATTAAGAAAAGATGAAATGATATTTGGTATTCTCTTGTTGCACAAGACCTGGAAATACATAATTAATGTGAAGATTTTTTTTCAAAGCAACCATTAGTACCTACAGGTCCCAATTTTAGTTATCTAAAATGTGAGACAACTCAAAATCCTTAATGGTGACAGGTACATGAGACATTTTTTGAATTATTATATTTATCTACTAGAGGCCTGTTGCACAATATTCATGCAAGAATAGGCTTTCCTGCCGAAACCCATTCGGCTCAGTGGATAGAGCATTGGCTTGCGGACTGAAGGGTCCCGGGTTCAATTCCAGTCAAGGGCATGTACCTTGGTTGCGTGCACATCCCCAGTAGGGGGTGTGCAAGAAGCAGCTGGTTGGTGTTTCTTTCTCATAGATGTTTCTAACTCTATCCCTCTCTCTTTATCTCTGTAAAAAATCAATAAAATATATTTTTTTTTAAAAAGAGCCGGGACCAGTTTGGCTCAATGGATAGAGTGTCGGCTTGGGGACTGAAGGGTCCCAGGTTCGATTCTGGTCAAGGGCATGTACCTTGGTTGCGGGCATATCCCCAGTAGGGGGTGTGCAAGAGGCAGCTGATCAATGACTCTCTCTCATTGATGTTTCTAACTATCTCTCTCCCTTCCTCTCTGTACAAAATCAATAAAATATATATATATTAAAAAAAAAAAGAAAAGAAAAGAATAAGCTTTCCTTCCCCTGACTTCATTCCCAGCCACCCGGGAGCTGGCAAGTCCCCTCCTCTGTCCAGAGCACTGCTCATTTAACTCCCTCTGCTAGCCCCCCGCCCCCTCCCACAGAGGCATCCTGCCCCTCTGAGCCTGCATATGCAAATCAACCCACCATCTTTGTTGAGTTAATTTGCATACTCTGATGGGCTGTGGGTGTGATGGAGGTATGGTCAATTTACATGTTTGTCTATTATTAGGTAAGATGATTGATGGTTAGAATTTATACTAACCAGTTTCCATATTTTTCAAAATCCCTATCAAATGTCTCTCCTAATTACTGTCTAGGAAAATAATGAAATTATGAAAAGAAGTCATAGGAAAAATCATCCTCAAATACTTGAAAACCAGTACTTCAACTAGGGATTTTAAAAATCCACCTTTGGCCCACGTGGCATGACTCAGTGGTTGAGCATTGATCTATGAACCAGGAGGTCACGGTTCAGTTCTTGGACTGGGCACATGCCTGGGTTGCAGGCTCAATCCCCAGTAGGTGGTGTGCAGCAGGCAGCTGATACATGATTCTTTCTCATCATTGATGTTTCTGTCTCTCTCCCTCTTCCTTCCTCTCTGAAATGAATAGAAATAAAAAACAAAAAATAATTTAAAAGAAGCTCTAGCTGATTTGGCTCAATGGACAGAGGTTCACCCTGCAGACTGTAGGGTTCCAGGTTCGTTTCCAGTTAAAGGCACATGCTTGGGTTATGGCCTTAATCCTCAGTAGGGGGCATGCAGAAGGCAGCCGATCAATGATTCTCTTTCATGATTGATATTTCTGTCTCTTCTCCCTTCCTCTTTCTGAAATCAATAGAAAAATATATTTTTTAATATTTTAAAATCCACCTTTGGAAGAATTCAGAAATGACTGATATTTGGTATTCTTTTTACAGCCTATGCTGTTGGCATGATAATTACCTTTGTTGTTCTGGTGCTGATGAAAAAGGGGCAACCTGCTCTCCTCTATTTAGTACCGTGCACACTTATTACTGCCTCAATTGTTGCTTGGAGACGTAAAGAAATGAAAAAGTTCTGGAAAGGAAACAGCTATCAGGTATGTGCTTGTATCTTAGATGCCAAGTTTTCTTATGAAATAATTCAGTGACTAACTTTGGCTGGAACTGCCTACATATATATCTAAGCTCTTATGTGCCAAATATTTATCTTGGATCTCTTAGGATGTCCTTTAAGTTTTTTCCACTACTGCCCCTTCCTGTCCACCTGCTGCATCATCAGTTTTCATCACCACTGCAATCTGATGCCAAAATCCTGGTGACTCAGGAAGGAGTGGGCATCAGACAAAAGCAAAACACATTTCGACATGTTTTCAGAATGCACACTAAAGTAGACTTCATGGAATATAAAGCTATGTTTAACTACTGGATTTGGAGACTGACATTACCTATTTAGAGTGAGGGTCCTAAGGTTTTGCAGTTAAAAAGTATATCCTTGTCCTGGCCAGTGTGGCTCAGTTGGTTGGAGCATCATCCCATATAACAAAAGGTTGCAAGTTTGATCCCAGGTTGGTCATGTACAGAAGGCAAGTGATTGATGTTTCTCTCTCTGTTTCCTCCCCCCGCAAAATCATTAAAAAAACACACACCCACACACACACACAACACAACAAATATCCTCAGGTGAGGATTAAAAAAAAAGTATGGGCCTAAATAAAGTAAATAGGACACTCTTTTCAGATTGACCTTTTTGTAAAATTCTAGGGCACAAAAAATCTTAATACCAGACTACTGTGTTTGACTTGTATCTTCATTGAAGTTAAACTCCTTTTTCTGAATGTCTTGGTATTCCACTAAAATCTGTTTGCATTGAAATATAAGAGGATTGGGAAACCCTAGCCATGGAGGTCAGGGTCATGGCATTGATCCCTTCACGAGGCAGTTAGTGCTGCTTTGCCCTATTACCACAAACTGCACTCCTCCACCCACCCCCATGCATGTGTGTCAGTGGTCACATGAACAAAACAGAGGTACTTTGGGTGGATGACGCAATTCTATTAGTAGATAAACAGTCCAAAGTTCATATTCATCTTGTAGATGGTCTGTAGTATCATCTTTATTTAACAAGAGGTGATTAACGCATTAAGTTAGACCAATTGGAAAAGCACTGGTCTGGAATTCTTTTTTGAAAAATTTTGTAATTTCTCTGAAATTTAGATAAAAGTAACAACACCTGCCTTAGCTACCTCACAATGCCATTGTCCCAAAATGTAGTATTTATACACATAGAATTAATTTATAGTCACATGATCTGTGACTAAACTAGTAAGATAGCTTGCAACTTTTCCATTAAGAGGACACAGAACTTTTACTTTTACAGAATAAAAAAAAATAAAGTATATCCTACAACACATATTCTGCTATACTAGCCTTTGAAAGCCACAACCCAATAAATGCTCTTCATCCTCATTTTTGAAAAATAAATTTTTATTGATTTCAGAGAGGAAGGGAGAGGGGAAGAGGAGAGAGGGAGAAATATTGATAAGTGAAAATCAGTGATTGGTTACCTCCTGCACATCCCTTACTGGGAATTGAGCCTGCAACCCAGGGTTCTACCTTGACTGGAAATCAAACTATGACCTCATGGTTCATATGTCAATGCTCAACCACTGAGTCACACCAGCCAGGCTCTTCATCATCATTTAAAAAAAAATAATTTTATATTTTTTCATCTAGCAAATATTTATTGAGCAGTCCTGTGACTCAAGTACTATTTTAGCTGGTGATAAAATATGAACAAGTTAGAAACAGGTCTAGTCTCATGACCTCTTAGAAGTGAGAGTGCCATGGGGGATACAGATGGCGTCACTAATGATACAGTGTGATAATTGTACTAGTTATGGTAGGTGCCATGAAAGCTAGCAAGGGATACCCAGTACTTATAAGTTCATGAGCGAGTCAAAGGTGATTTGTGGAAGGCTTTAAAGAATGTTAAATTTGCCCAGGCAGTGTTGTTCAGTGGTTGGGTGCTGACCTATGAACCAACAGGTCATTGTTCGATTCCCAGTCAGGGCACATGCCCATGTTGGGGGTTGGACCCTCAGTAGGGGGCATGCAGGAGGCATCTGATGAATGATTCTCTCTCATTGATATTTCTGATTCTTCTCTTTCCCTTCCTCTTTCTGAAATCAATAAAAATATATTTTACTTTTTTTTTTTTTTAATTTTTTAACTCTATGTTGAGACTTTAACTGAGCCAGGTATTCCATGTTGAGGAAGCCATGTCTTCAAAGACTTGAGGGAAGCGAGTATGGCACATTTCTAGGAACCAAATGTTGTTTAGGATGACTATAATGTTGAGTAAGCATAGGGGAGCTGTAGGAAATGAAAACTGGGAAAGGAGCCCTAACCAGTTTGGCTCAGTGGATAGAGCATCGACTTACAGACTCAAGGGTCCCAGGTTCAATTCTGGTCAAAGGCATGTACCTTGGTTGTGGGCACATACCCAGTGGGGAGTGTGCAGGAGGCAGCTGATGGATGTTTCTCTCATATCGATGTTTCTACTCTTTATCCCTCTCCTTTCCGCTCTGTAAAAAATCAATAAAACATTTTAAAAAAAAAAAAAACTGAGGAAGGAAACAAGGGTAGGAACCTGTAGGATTTTATAGACCATATTAAAGCATTTGAATACTATGCTAAGAACATTGGGAACCATTTAAGGGTTTTAGAAATTTAGAGTGTTGCTCAGTAGTTAGAGTGTCAGCCTGCGCACCGAAGGGGCTTGAGTTCAATTCCTAGTGCCAGCTATTACAATGAGAAAATCAATAGTAGCCAGAATTAGGAAGGCAGAGCGATTTGAGAGAGGTGAACAAAGTCAAGAGAAATTAAGCAGCAAGATTAAAAGGGTGTAATGCAATTGATAGAAGTGAGCAAAGTCAAGAGAAATAAAGTCATAATTAATGAGGTGTGGTAATAGATTCAATGGAGGGGGAGGAGAAGGAAGTAAAGTCCAAGGTTTCTAGCTTAAGTAACTGAGTGGGTGGATGGTGATATCATTCACTGAGATAAAGAACTGCAGCAAATTTGAGGGAAAAGATGATAAATTCAGTGTTGGACAAGTTAAATGTTGAATGTGAATTCAATTTTGAACATTTCAAAATATCTGTAGGACCAGGAAGAAATACTAGGCTGTTGAATAAATGTCCCCTGATGTGCAAAAGACAGGCCAAAGTAGAGATAGAAATTTGGGAGTGTCATCAACATACTTAAAGAGTGAGTGAGAGCATAGAGGGAGAGAAAAGACTCAGGAAGAATTGTGAGCAAGAGGTTTCTAACTCTTCAGGCACCTATCTGATTAACTGATTGTGATGGACAACATGGGGAATTTTGTTTAGGGTTAGCATTAAAACTTAGGTTAGACATTAAATTTGGGATTGTTAGTGAGAGCACATATGGTATCTTACAGAAGTAAATGTATTTCTTGTTATTTGCATTTTATTCTTATTTCTAAAATTGTCCCTTCTCTTTGATACAGATGGAGCAAAAATAGTTTTATAGTTGTTAGTATATGAAACAGTTTATTCTTGTATTATTATTAATTGCTAGTATTGTATTTTCTAGATGAACAACTGTAAACCTAATTTTGCCCCACCCCCTGTACAGATTTTGAAGTAGTTTATTATAAAAATAGTGCTTATTACAGAAAAGTTTGAAAATGTAGGAAAAGACAAGAAAATGAAGTCCACCAATAATCCCACCAACCTAGAGATAGCCACTCCTAAGATGTAGGTGTGTGTTTTTTACGCCTTCCTAGATAAATGGATAGGTGAATGGATGATCCCATATTCTAAATAGTTTTCTATCTTATTTCTCCACTGCATATTAGTTATTTCATTTTAAATTTCTTGCAAAAATCATTTTAATGGCTATGTCGTATTATCTCATAAGCATGTACCATACATTATTTTACCATTTCCTTTGACCCAGTAACTCTTCAGCACATTGTCAAGAAAATAAAAACTCAGGTAAAATTGATATGAAAAGATGTTCATTAGAGTACTCCTGGTCATCTTTGTTCTATTATAATAAAGTCTAGGTTAATGTTATTGGCAGTTAATGAACTAATATTTTTATATAGATTCAAGCCCTGTTTTTACTTTTGATTATTTTTTGTGTGTTTTAATTACAAAGTAATGCATGTTTGCATTTTTAAATTCCATTTTATTTATTTATTTATTTCTAAATGTTTTTGTTTTTATTGATTTTAGAGAGAGGAAGGGGTAGGGGGAGAGAGAGAAACATCAAACATCGGCGGGTTTTCTCCTGTATCCTGGATGCACACACCTTGACCAGGGACTGAACCTGCAACCTGGGCAAGTACCTTGACCAGGAATCGAACTGGCAACATTTTGGTACACAGGATGACGCTCCACCCACAGCCACACCAGCCGGGCAATGTTTGCATTTTTTAAAAATATATATTTTATTGATTTTTTTACAGAGAGTAAGAGAGAGGGATAGAGAGTTAGAAACATCGATGGAAATCATCTATCAGCTGCCTCTTGCACACCCCCCACTGGGGATGTGCCCGCATCCAAGGTACATGCCCTTGACCGGAATCGAACCTGGGACCTTTCAGTCCGCAGGCCGACGCTCTATCCACTAAGCCAAACCAGTTTTGGCCCGATGTTTGCATTTTTTAAAGGCAATACGATTGTGTCTGAAGTAAACATAGAAGGCCCTTTTCTAGCTCTTTTATCCCCACACCCACCCTCAAGGGGCAGCTATTTTGAACAGATTATGTGGAGCTTCCAGATCTTTTTATGCCAACACATAGTATAAAGAGTTGAATGTTTAGAGATGTGATATACATAGATGTAATAACATTGTGTCCCTTTGGAAATATTCTTCAGCTTACTTTTTCTCAGGTTTATTGTAGTACCTCTCCTCCCTTCTCCATGATGTTTATTGAAAGGAAAGGGGATGATGGTAGGTAAGGAAGGAATTCAACCAACAGATGCATTATATTCCCTTTGAACAGATGCTCTGCCATGGACCATCTGAGTTTCACTCTTAAAAATTATGATCTTGAAAAAATTAT